GATCAAACTTTTCTTCATTTCTAAGAGCAAAAAGAGTTTTCTTAGTCATTGTAGCTACCAGTTGACCTTCAAGAGCAGAAAATTCCGTTTTCTGAAGAGTTCTACTTAAATTGTCAGTGTTTCGAAGAAGTGTTTCTCTCAAAATGAGTCTGAAAAAAATCAAATAAACGCATTTGAGATTCAACACCTCTAATACTTGCAATGGTTTTGCTGTCATGTACAATTTCAGCTGCTTTCTCCCAAAGTTCCTGAAGGATAGAGTAGTTTTGAATAATGCTTTGCATTGAGTCGGCTCTCACTGTCCATCTTGTTGGACAAAGTACACGAATGCCAGGACTGCCTGGTGTAATATCCCCTTTGATGCTTTTGAAGAGACACTCACTTCTTGGAGAATACTTCACTAATTTAGTAATCTCATGTGTAGTATTGAGGTCTTTCTTCAATGTACTGCACTTTTTCATAGTGTCCACAACTGCCAAGTTTAAGGAATGTCCATAACATTTGGTATAAAAAGCTTTAGGTTGTTCATCTAGAATCTGTTTGGCTACACCACTTCTTGCACAACTCATGTTACTGGCACCATCGTAACATTGGCCCCTTACTTTTTTGAAACTTAAGTTTAATCGTAGTAATGTGTCCTTCACTACAGAAACTAGAGAGCCGGTATCAATAGAAGAAACCTCATAAAGGCCTATGAGTTCTTCATTTGCTAGAAGTTCATCACTTACCCAATGTAAAACTATCACAACCTGCATGCATGTACAAATGCAACTATATAATAGTGGCTATTCAGTGAAATTATCATATACCTGTTCTGTGTTGCTTATATGCAGTGCACTCATCTATCATTACTGTTATAAAGCTAATGTTCTGAAGAGTATTAGCAATCCCTGTTAAAAGTGCATTGGACATCAGTTTCAGTAACTCATTTTGTACTTCATGGCTAAGATAAGACTAATTTTTTTTTTCAACCATTCCTTTAACTACATTATGTCACATATCCTATACATTAATGGATGAATAAATTATACCTCTTCATCATCTTCACTTCTTAACTTGATCAGCTGGTACAGATTTCCATGACTTTCATCATGTCCTCTAATTGCACAGCCCTGTTTAGCTAAAAATTTTAAACTACTTAAAATTTAAGAAAGCAATGGTGATTGTGTTCTCATAGCAAATTCCTCACTAGTAAAGTCTAAGGCATTGTGTACAATTAGTTTTGGTAAACCTAGAGTAATGATTTCCTCAACAGGTCTAAAGTAATAGTAGTTGTAGAGGATTTAGTAATGTGTACCTCTATCCACTTCAAACAGACATCCATTAAAACTAAAAACATTCTCCCTTCATGTATAATCAATATACACTCTCGACCATGGCTTCTTTGACCACTGCCACAGGTCAATGGGAGCAAGGGGTGGGCTTTTCAATTTGACTGAAAAATTTTACACTGTTTAACACAATCTTTGAATTCTTTATCTATTCATGGCCACCACACATCTCCTTGCAATACTCTTCATTTTTACCATGCCTGTATGGCCCTCATATATATCATTTTAACAATGCTTTTCTCCCTTTAGGTGGTATTACAACTCTACTACCCCATAAAATGCACCCTTCCTCCACAGTCAGCTCATACCTCCTCCTGTGATAAAGTTGAAAGCAAGGTTCCTGAGCTGGCCAGTTTTTGTCAGTATCCACTCCCTCACCGTAGAGAGAACAGGATCGTGGTTAGTCCATCATTTGATCTGAGCGGAGGTAGTAGGAGATGCATTAAGATGCTTCATTGGGTAAATTACTTCACTAGTAATACAAGCTTCAGGCGGGGTATTTCTAACAGGTAGGCAACTCATAGCATCCGCTGTTACATTATCCTTTCCTATCTGATGCTTAATAGTGTATTTATATGCTCCTAATGTTAGAGCCCATCTCTGAATATGTACAGAGGCTATGGTAGGAATACCTTTCTTCTCACTAAATATGTTATCAATGGTTTATTGTCGGTCTTCAACTCAAATTTGCGACCATAGAGATACTGTTGATAATTTTTGATTCCGAAAATAATTGCAAGAGCTTCCTTATCTGATTGCTAGTATCTCTTCTCAGTAACAGACAGAGTACGTGAGACAAATAAATAGGACGGTCTGTACCATCTGGCATTCCATGGAAAAACACAGCTCCCTATCCATAAGGCAATGCATCACAAGCTAAAATTAAGGGAAGCTTCTCATTAAAATGTACTAACACCCGAGTTGATTTCAACAGCTCTTAAACTGTATAGAACGCATCTTCCTGCGGTTTCATCAACACCCCCTTCTTCTATTGTAACAGTCTATACAGTTGAGCCACAGTAGAAGCTAGGTCAGGCAAAAACTTGCTATAATAGTTCACTAATCCCAAATATGACCAAAACTCAGACACGCTAGCACGTGTAGGAACATTAGTTACTGCTTTGACCTTTGACTCAGAGGTCATTAAACCCTCAGCAATAATCACGTGACCAAGCTACTTAAGTGACGGCAAGAGAAAGGAACACATCTCCCTCTTTACTTTCATGCTTGTCTCAGATAACCGGATTAATATAGCTGCAAAATGGGCTACATGCTCTTCATTTTTACCAGTATTCAAAATATCATTCATATAGATGCAAACACCTGGAATACCCTGTA